TCGTAAGATGAGAACTACCTGTACACATGCTGGTTGCCAAACACCAGATTTTGATAATGTGACTGTGGGGATACTGCATTGGTTCTAAATGTGATGGCTGATCATAAGGCACTTTTTTCAGGGCATCATAACTTCAAACAGTTGTTAAACAAATGGCCGTAAATTAAGAATTGCCGGTATTTATCTTCCCATGCTCAAAAATTCAGAACAACATTGACCTTAGACATGAAATATAAATTCTTGCTACTCGAGAGAAGGTAGATCAAAGTAGAGAGAAATTACACTGACAATAAAGGTATATTTTGGTCAAGGCTGTACTTTTTCTAGCCACACCCACATGGATTTGACAGCTGGATCACGAGGGAAGCCGAACAAAGAAAAATTGATGGTTCTAAATAATGGCATATACCACAAAAATAATTGTGAATACCTAGAACTTTATGATTTAATACAGGAGTGTCCAACCTTTAAACATTTAGTTAAGGGTTGTCCAACCTTCAATCAGAACGTAAATCATTTAGTTCAGAGGTGTCCAACCATGGCAACTTTAAGACTTGTGGCCTTAACTCTCCACATGTTGATATTTTTTTAAAAAAGTTTTTTATTTACAATACAGTTAAAAAAGAAAACATTGGACATGACGTAACATTCCAGTATAAACATTTCTGTCAAGTTATTTCTCTTCTTACATTTAGTTCTTTATCTCTATAGATACATATGGTTTTTTTTATACAATACTTAATTCATTTCTCTATTTGCTAGCCTAAAATTATATACATTTCCATATTGACGCTAATCTATAACCCCAACAGTCCTCCTCGACTCCCATCAATAGTAAAATTTATCCCAGATTTCAAAATATTCAGGTCCTCCACATGTTGATACTTGATGAAGTATAACCAGACTGTTCTCTGGAAGCACTATTACAACAGGTAACACTTAAATATTTTGGACACATAATCAGTCAATGGAGAAGACCATAAAACTTGGGAAAAATGGAAAACAGTTGAAAAAGTGACTGATAGTACAGCAAGTGGCTTTTCTTCCGTAATCAATGAACCTCAAAGAAAATACATGAAGGCCTCCACCTTAGAGGTTTCTTTCCTCTTCAGGATCCAGAGAAAATACAGCATGAAAAGGTCTACTTATAGTTGTTATTATTATGCATCTATATATCCCAACATGAGGTGTTGGGAATAAACCAATGAAAAGCTTTACCTTTATGTTTTTGGGTACCCCTGTATATACCTCTGAACATGGGATCGGTTAAGTTAACACCAATATCTAGTTAAAAGAAAAAGCAATAATTAGTTGGTCATCGGGTTGAGTGCAGGGATATAATTTTGCTCCCTGCACCAAATGTAATCTTTCCTTTTCAACATCTTCTCAAAGTATCCATCACTGCAGCTCAATGCTGACCGAAGAGACCCTTAATTAAAACCCTCTTGGCTCCGTTCCTAGGATGCCCTTCAACAGGTCCAGAAAAAAAGTCAAAGGTTGCATTCCCACAACAAGCTAACCTCGGTTAAAGCTAATTTTGTGTCTCTGTGTATGTGTATCAGCATTTTATGTGCTGACCAGATGTGGCTCTAGGAGTTGTGCCAATCCAGAACAAGCATTTCCTAACCACAACTAGCAGGTCGTGGGAAGACAGCCCTAAAGATTCAAGGGCAGCGAGCTCCGAGGGCTTCCCTCCCGCTCCTCTAAATTGCAATTTTTCCCAGGAGGAGCTTCTGGAGCTCGCGGGACGCGCGTGCCATTCTCACGACCACCCAACCCCGCATTCTGCCCGAGGACGCCCGGACGCCGCGCAGTCCCCGCGTTGCCAGGGCAACCGCCCTCACCAATGAATTTGAAGCGGCTCATGACGACAGCGGCAGAGCTCCACGCGCACGGTCCTCGCTCGCTCCAAAGAGGCAGAGGAAGAGGAGTCGTTACGCGCCCGCCCCTCACTTCCGGTTGCCTTGTGACCGCGGCTGTCGCCCTGGACGCAGGGGTAGGCAACCTTGGCTCTTTTATGACTCGTGGACTTCAACTCCCAGAATTCCTGAGTCAGCATAGCTGGCTCAGGAATTCTGGGAGTTGAAGTCCACGAGTTATAAAAGAGCCAAGGTTGCCTACCCCTGCCCTGGAGGAAGCAGAATGTCCGGAAACAAAACACGCGTCCCAGGAAAGAGGAAGTGCCCGCCTTCTGGAGCTTGGCGGCGTTCTTGCCGCCAGGATTCCAGCGAGTTGGTTTTACACGGAGCACGGAGCCTCAGTGCAGAAGCCAAGTCTGAAAATAGCTATCCATGTCAAGTCCGTCTCGTTTCATAAAAGCAAACTCCCCAGCGCCATCTTCCTCCTGGCCTTCTGCACGGCCCGCTCGGTTTCTGTTGGCCCGCGTCTGTGTGTACAACCCTACCCTAATATTATATTTATTATGTATTATATGTATATAGTATATATAATTCTGGTCTTGCAGACACACGTCAAGCCACACAAAATGCATTCACAAAAATTGAAACAAAATTACACCACATTGCAATTCAATACAATTTACTATATTGTAAATTTGCTTTGCTGCCTGAGGAATTCTGGGAGTTGAAGTCCACAAGTCTTAAACTTGCCAAGGTTGGAAACCACTGCTGTACTGTACTATACTATACTAATGCTATATTGTATAGATGTATTAGATTTAAATATAATATTAATCTTCTGCCAGTTAAATATTCTACCCCCGCAAGACTCTCTTCCTCCATAGCCCCTTCCAACTCTGTGATTCTCTAAGGGTCTCCTGCTTGAGAATGGGGTTGGACTAGATGCCCTCTATGGTCACTTCTTTTATACCATGATTCTGTATGAGTGTCCTGCCTGAGCACGGCATTGGACTAGATGACCTCTATGGTCCCTTCCAACTCTGCGATTCTATGATTCCGTAAGGGTTTCCTGTTTGAGCAGGTGGCTGGACTAGGTGTCCTCCAAGGTCTCTTCCAACTCTGTGATACTGTGATTCTCCTGATGCCGGCAAGAGAGGCCCCTCTAATTGTTATCTCCATGTGTTCATATCAAGCAGTTAACGTCATATCCTCCCCAGGAGGACGACGAGGAGGGAAGATTACTCTTAGAGATAGGGAACTAAGAATTATAAACCGTATAAAAACCGTTATAGATTCCCGAGGGTTATAAAGAGCTCCCCCCCCCCTCACAGCCTTCCGTCGGGCTCATTGCGTATCGAGCCCGTGACGGAGGCTTCAGTGGCGGCGTGTCACTCTACCCTTTCTCTCTCTAGAGGCCGGACGCCCTCGCGCTCCCATCAGCCCCTGCGGCGCTGTTCCTACATCCCCCCCCCCCGTTCCGGACCTGAAAGTCGACCGGGGCGCCGCCAAGATGGCGGGCTACCTGTCGCATCGGCAGAAGGTGCTGCGGCTCTACAAGCGAGCCATGCGGCACCTCGAGTCCTGGTGTATGTATCGGTGAGTCGCCGACCTTCCGCCCCGGATCGCAGCCCGCACGGGCCTCCGCTGCCTCCTGACTTGCGGGAGGACACCCATCCCCATCATCCCCAACCCTCGCCGACCCCGGTGTTGTCTGGGCGTTGTAGTCTTAACGTGGGGACGATTTCCAACCTCTGAAGAGCGTTTTCTCTCCCTCTCTCAATGTACCGGCGCCTCTGCGCTTTTTTTCTCCGTTGCGCTTTTCTTGCGCGGATCCTAAACCCGAGTTAATCCGCGCGTCTTTTTTTCCCCCCACGACAGCTCTGGGTTCAGAAGGGCAGAAAGGCTGCGGGGACGGGATCAGGCATCCCCGCGGGCTAAGAAGCCGTGGTTGGGATAGCCGTGCTTTGCTGAATCCAGCAGATTTGCTCAGCCTGGTTAGGGAGGTAGGGAGTGAACTGGTTGGGATTCATTCAGGAAATACATCTTGGTAAGTGAGTGGCAGTCCAAAAAATAATAACGGCTTGTTATCCTTACTGGGATATTGGTAAAAAATACTGTCAGATGAGCCAGTTTTGTTTATTAAGCAAGGTTTAAATAGGCACACTTGCATATTGTGTTTGGTTCTTCTTGTTGGGCTCAACATATTGGTACGCAAAAAAATATATTGAAGTAGGCAAATTAGGATAATGGGGTGAGGTAGGAGCTTGCATTTTTTTTTCTGTGAAGAAAAGCAAAAACTAAAGCATATAAGGAAAGGCTGCTGGAATTGGGTATGTCTAGTTTAACGAAGAGAGGGACAAGGGGGGACATGATAGCAGTGTTCCAATATCTCAGGGGTTGCCATAAAGAAGAGGGAGTCAAGCTATTTTCCAAAGCGCCTGGAGGCAGGACAAGAAGCAACGGGTGGAAACTAATCAAGGAGAGAAGCAATCTAGAACTAAGGAGAAACTTCCTGACAGTGAGAACAATTAACCAGTGGAACAACCTGCCTCC